ATTAGAGATTAAATGTTAGACTTACTTTAGTTAATGACACTGTTGAAGACTAACCCAAAGTCTCTAGTACCTAACATCTGAGATAAGATACAAGATTTAATAAACTGAGAATAACAGAGTTCAACATCAGGCATGACCATTTTTAAATTGGCTTCATGGAATAATAAAAGGACATTTGTTTTTAAGAGAGATGTTCTTGTAAAAAAAATTAAAAAAAAAGATTACTGTTTAATAAAGATGATGAAAAATGTGGAGTAGAATCAGAATTGACTTAAAACCTAAGAGAAGGAATAAAAGCTTTCAAGATGCGCTTTATGCATAAATATTATGGATATAAACATTTATGTTTGCTATTTATTTAAATGCTGACATACAATATTCTTTCATATTCATAAAAACTTTAGCATTTATATGGTGCAGTATTTGCCAAGAGAAGATGATCAAATGGATATGTGGTATGACTCTAACAAGACCAGAAAAGGAGGCATAATCTTAGACAGATTAGAAAAAAACGTTGTATCAAACAACATTTGTTAGAAAAGATTAAGGTGATTTAGGTACCAGCATGTAGAGAGATAGCAGCTCAACTAGAAAATGGTAGTGGTAGTAGATTGGTCTAGATTGTTTACATTAGAGAAACAGCATAAAAGAGAAAGGCTAAGCCTGATGATAAAGATGATGATGATGATGATGATGATGATGATGATGATGATGATGATGATGATAACGATGATGATGATGATGATGATGATGATGATGATGATGATGATGATGATGATGATGATGATGATGATGATGATGATGATGATGATGACGATGATGATGATGATCTTGATCATGATACAAAATATAAAATGAAATTTGAATTAAAAAAAGCTAATTTAGTATATATAAATTTTTATGCAGCCTTTGTCACAAACCCAGACCCAGCCCTGACTACATTTTATTAAACCTGGCCCCGGTTAAATATTAACCCCGGTCATTTACTAAACCTTATGACAATGGAACAAAGGCTCAACCTTAGCAGCTAGAGAAGAATTGTCAACACTTTACATTGTGTTTTTGGACCTAAAAATGAGAGATCCTCATTAGTAGAACAACCCAAAATGGAACAACAGCGTTCCATAAAGACAAATACATGATAGATAGATCTATCATATATTTGCCTTTGTATGGAGCGCTGTTGTTCCATTTTGGCTTGTTCTACTAATGAGGATCTCTCTCTTTTGGGTCCAAAAACGTATTGTAAAGTGTTGACAATTCTTCTCAAGCTGATAAGGATAGATGTAGAAGAATCAAGAGTAAGAATATGAAAAGCGTAAGAAAAACCTTAGCAGATGCTAACTTTATAATGCAGTATGTATATGACTTCTATGAGAGATCATTAATGAATAACAATCTGAAAGTCAAAAAATAAGGACTGAAGTGTAGGAATATCCCAAATATTGTAATAGTTATTAGCAGCAAAGTTAGCTGAGTTTTTTTTAGGTTAAAATTGACCAACCACTGCAATCTCTAAGCTATCATAAAAGAGAAATCAGATTTAAGATTGGCTGCATATTTTAAGCAATCAATAAGTCATAACTTTTTGTCAAGGCTGATTGCATCATCAGCAAACTTAAGGATAAGATTATCCGAAAGATTAATAATATAGATGAGGAACAATACAGGACTACGGGTTGAGCCTTATGGTATCCTCAAAAGCTACTAAAAATAAAGAGGAGTGTCGTTCATCAAGGAAAACATTAATACTGATTAGAAAGGAATGATTCAACAGCTTTGAAAACTTTCTGAGATAAATCATATGATGTGAGCTTATGAAGAAGACAAGTATGCCGAATTTTATCAAAAGCCTTAGATGTATTAAAAGCTATAGCCCTTGCCTCACCACTTCCTAACAATAGATTAACCTCATGAGTTAGAGGAAATGTTTCTCCAAATAATTCTATCTTCAAGAATATATCTAAAAGACTACCATTCTTGTCGTAGGAGATATGATCCATGTATGAGAGAATGTTAGACTTGACTTTATTAATGACTATGGCTGATGAATTGTTGAGTTTAAGTTTTAGTTTGTTTTCTATAAAATCATTATTTTTGTATTTATATGAATCACTTTCATATTCCTCTTTCATACAATAATTTTTGATACTGTACATAGCTTGTGACCAGGTAAAAAATCTCCTTTTCAATAGCAGCTTTATTTACATTGATTATCCTCTTTTATTGCAATTCTGTGTCTCTCTTAATCTTTTATATTTCATAACATAACTTTAAATTTATTAGTTGAGGGAAAAAGAATATTTGTGGACATCTAGTTTAAACTTTAGTTTGCGTAATTTAAATTTGTGGCCTCAAGTGTTAATATAGTTGTTTGTTAAAAAGAAACTTGATATATTTAGAGCAAACTTAATTAACACAAATTAATCAGCGCTATTTTACAAAAAAAATTCAGCAACAACAAATCAGGCTTTTATTAAAACTTTTTAAAATCAATACTGAGTACCCAGACTTGGACCCGGTATTTTCTTCCAGGTACTTGGATTCTGGGCTAGGACTTGGCATAAATTGGTTACGGCACATCTCTAACTTTAACATTACAACATCCATAGCAAAATTGATTGGAAAGTTTGATAGGTCTGTAAATATTGTAGCATGGTTGAAAAAAGTTAAACTGGTCAGAGAGTTGCAATCTATCCTTGATAATTCTGTGAATTCTTAATTGTTCATTGATAAAGATTAGTTAAGATTATTTACTCAACTAATTGACTAAAAGTTGATTTAGTAGAGTAATACTTAAAACCCTAAAATCTTTTTATTTTTAAGTATTTTATTTTATCTTTTAATTTTTTAATCTTTAATTTTTGTTCATCAGTAATAACTTTTTATTGCGCATTAGATAAAGGTGGAGAGGTTAAGGCCATTGCTCTTGACATTTCTAAAGCGTTTGATAAAGTTTGGCATGCTGGTCTTCTCCATAAGCTTTCTTCTTACGGTGTATCTGGAAACATCTTTAAGATTATTGAATTCATGATAAGAAGCCAACTCCCTCTGATTGCTTGTAGGGGGCATCTGAGCTTGAAAAGGATCTCACTTCTGCTACAGCATGGGGCTCACAGTGGCTGGTGAACTTTAATTCAGATAAAACTCAATTTTTTTCGGCCAATCATTATCGCAATAATTTAGACCTTCTTATATTTATGAATAGTAATGTACTCGACGAGTCTCCTACCCTTCATCTTCTAGGATTAACTCTTACTTCTGATCTTTCTTGGAAACCTTATATCAAATCCGTTGCAAAATTAGCATCTGCTAAAGTTGCTTCTCTTTATCGAGCTCGTCACTTTCTTACTCTGGATTCTATTCTCTATCTCTATAAATCTCAAATCCGCCCTTGTATGGAATACTGTTGCCATATCTGGGGCGGATTTTCTAATGATGGCTTTCCTTTTTTAGACAAGGTGCAAAAACGCATTGTAAACATAGTTGGACCTGCTCTTGCAGCCAACCTTCAACCTCTGTCACATCGTCATAATGTTGCTTCTCTTTCTCTATAATGGGCACTCTACAATAGGCACTCTATAATCGGCACAATATACTATAATGGGCACTGCTCTAAAGAGCTAGCGCCTCTTGTGCCATCTACTAAAATTCATTCTCGTGTTACTCGTCATTCAATTAAGTCTCATCCTTTTTTTGTTACTGTTCCTAAGTGCTCTAAAAACTCTTAATTGTCTAGTTTTTTTCCTCGAACATCAGTTCTTTGGAATTTGCTTCCTTCAATCTTTTAAGTCGTCTGTCAATCATTATCTTGCTCTACAATCTTCATCTTTTCTCTTCCAGTAACTTCCAACACTAATTAGTGGTTGCTTGCAGACTTGTTGGAAGCAAAGATAATAAAAAAAATAAAAAATAAAAAATATATACAGTCAAAAACTATATTTTTATTGCATTTACTGCATATTGCTAATTTCAATGTTTTGATTTTACAACTTTCCTGTGAGTACCCACTAATGACATCACTGTAATAGTCTATTAAATCACTAAAAAAAATTATTATTAAAAATATTGTTGATCCTAGGTTTTAAATGGCTTAAATTGAAGACAAAATTAATTTTTTTGTTCTTAAAAACAAATTATAGTTATTTTTTTCTTTTTTTAAAAATTTCTTTAATGTTATTTACCTTCCCATAGCCAAGAGGGCCATAACAGTCAAAGAGGTTACTTTTTTATTATTGTGCTTACAACCCTCTCTCAACTCTTTAACTCTGAAATATGAACCTTGACAAACAGAAACAAGTTGAGCGCGGTTCTACCAGAGAAAAACTTCTAAAAACTTCTTGCTTAGCGATTAATAAAGAAACTTAAAAATTGTCACTTATTGTTTATATTTTATATTGACCCATCAAAAATCAACTTTTTAAATTTACAACCCATTTTTAAATATCTGACATTCAATATCAGTGAAAAGTTCAATAGCAGTGTTTTAAAAAGGGTAGAGCTTAAAAATATGAACAAAACAAGTTATTTCTACTAATGTTTTTATTTTTTTACAAAATCAGAAATTTGAAATGTATCCATAAACCACAAATGTTTTTATGTTAAAGTTTTTAGGATTTGCTTTTCTTGTTAATATCATATTATGAGGTAGTTCATGTTGTACTACAGCCTGAAATAACCTAAAGGAAAAAGCATTTTAAAAATCTCAAATGTTTTTATTTTTGCGGCATTTAGCATTAAACGCAAACACTGAAATCCTAATCTAAGTCTAGTTGTACAAATTGTAAAATGTTTTATAAAATACACTAAACAATAATGAGGCAAATACAATAGAACATACATTCAAATTTTGGAGTGCATATTTTTAGATTATTGGCATAATATAATAAATTGTAGTTGATATTATACAGTTCAATCTCACTGCTCAAGACTACTCTTTATCAATGAAAATAAATATACTATATATTTTTCACTTTAAAAAAATGAAAGACACAAATTACCTCTGTACATAATGTAATGTTTTCTGTTCGAATAAAAGAAGTATAGAATATAAGGAAACTTGAAATGTACGTAGTTAAAAACTGCATTTTTTGTCTCCAGAAATATTATTTCGGAAACTGAAAATATAAAATAAGATTTATATCTTATTAGTGGTAAAAATACTAAAACATTAAATATATTTCCGACACATTGCATGCACATTTACATGTATATTCATACAACATTTATATAACATTTAAATAATACAAAAATGCTATTCATTTAAATTTTCATATAAATTTAAGTTCCTATATGAATTATTCCTAATATGTAGTGTAGTTTGTGCTTATAACATATTTTTACGACATTGTTATTTCTTACAGCTGTTAAAATAAATTGTTAAATAATTTTGTAGCTTAAGCAACATTTTCATTGCTCAATAATATGGCAAATTAATGATATTTATTTTCATCGAGAAACCAGAAGACCAAATATTCTTTATCTGAAAAAATAGGAACAAAGCTACTGCAAAAAGCATACAAAAGTATCTTGCAAAAAACTACATAAAACATACAGCAAATAACTATGCGGCATAAATTCGGAAGGGACAACGCAAGTCTAAAACGTCATCGATGAGTCAAGAATGATTTCAAGAAATTAAACTTGAACAATTCGCCGGTGAGAGTGCTCGTTTGTAAATTATTACGTCACACACAAAAAATAACTGAAAATCTTTATTATCGTCAAGATGAATTACTTTGGGATTGAAAGCAAAGTTAATAATGTAAAATAAATCTTGAAATTTTTGCATGCTTCACTTTGAACGTTGTCTTTAATACTAGGGCAGTGTTTATTGAACAGAATGTTTTATAAAGCTCGATGTAGAGGTTTGAAATGAGATGTATAGCGAATAAAGTCTTGTCGACTGGTAATCAGGAGCCAATAAGAGGGCTATGACTTGAAGAAATTAAAAGTGTTAAACTTTTTTTTTTAAAGAAAATATTTTCCTTCCAACTCAGTGCAGCATTTGACGTCAGAATATTTCGAAAATATACAGCAATACTACAGCAAATATTTTTCAATATATTCTGACGTCAAATGCTGAAATCAAGTGACGTCAAATCATTCTAATCTGCTACATATTTTTTTTTTTTTTTTTAATTATCTTCGCTTCCAACAAGGTTGCAAGCAACCACTAATTAGTGTTGGAAGTTACTGGAAGAGAAAAGATGAAGATTGGAGAGCAAGATAACGATTGACGACTTAAAATATTGATGACGACTTAAAATATTGCAAATTATATGAATCAGGAAAGCAAGATGAAAGAAGCGAATTCCAAAGAACTGATGTTCGAGGAAAAAAACTAGAAGAATAAGAGTTTTTGGAGCACTTAGGAATAGTAACAGAAAAAGGATGAGACTTAATTGAATGACGAGTAACACGAGAATGAATTTTAGTAGATGGCACAAGAGACGCTAGCTCTTTAGAGCAGTGCCCATTATAGTATTTGTAGAAAAGAGAAAGAGAAGCAACATTACGACGATGTGACAGAGGTTGAAGGTTGGCTGCAAGAGCAGGTCCAACTATGTTTACAATGAGTTTTTGCACCTTGTCTAAAAGAGAAAGGGCATCATTAGAAGATCCGCCCCAGATATGGCAACAGTATTCCATACAAGGCCGGATTTGAGATTTATAGTGATAAAGAATAGAATCCAGAGTAAGAAAGTGACGAGCTCGATAAAGAGAAGCAACTTTAGCAGATGCTAATTTTGCAACGGATTTGATATAAGGTTTCCAAGAAAGATCAGAAGTAAGAGTTAATCCTAGAAGATGAAGGGTAGGAGACTCATCGAGTACATTACCGTTCATAAATATAGGAAGGTCTAAATTATTGCGATATTGATTGGCCGAGAAAAATTGAGTTTTATCTGAATTAAAGTTCACCAGCCACTGCGAGCCCCATGCTGTAGCAGAAGTGAGATCCTTTTTGAGCTCAGATGCCCCCTGCAAGGGGGCATCTGAGCTCAAAATCAGAGGGAGTTGGCTTCTTATCGTGACAAGAATAAATGGTAGTATCATCAGCGAACAATGCCACCTTAGATGTGAGAATATCTGGAAGATCGTTAATGTAAATTAAAAAGAGTATAGGGCCAAGGATTGAACCTTGGGGAACCCCTGAGGTTACAGAATAAGAAGAAGAGTGCTGACCATCAAGGACAACTTTTATACTACGATTAAAAAGGAAGGATTCAATAATCTTAAAGATGTTTCCAGATACACCGTAAGAAGAAAGCTTATGGAGGAGACCAGCATGCCAAACTTTATCAAACGCTTTAGAAATGTCAAGAGCAATGGCCTTAACCTCTCCATCTTTATCTAATGCGCGATAAAACCTATCAGTTATTACTGCTAGCAAATCAGCCGTAGAACGAGAAGATCGAAATCCATACTGATGATCAGAAAGTAGGTTATGAGATTCGAGATGAGAGATTAAGTGTTTGTTAATTAAAGATTCAAAAAGCTTGCTTATGATAGGAAGAAGACTAATGGGACGGTAGTTAGATGAGTCAGATCGCTCTCCAGAATTTTTAAAAATAGGGATAACAGATGCTGCTTTCCAGCAGGCTGGAAAACAAGTCTCTGATAAGCACTTGTTGAATAGTTTTGAAAAGATAGACGACAGCTCAGGAGAACACTTCTGCAAGACTATAACAGGTATGTTGTCCGGGCCGCAAGTTGTAGAAGAGTCTAAGCGGGAAATCACTTTAGATACGGAAGCTGGAGTGATACGAGTGTCGAGCAATAGATCAACCTGTTTGACGGGTATATCAGGTAAAACGCAACTAGTGGCATCAAGAGATGATTTTGATAAAAAGCTTTTGGCAAACAATTCAGCTTTGTCTTTAGGTGAGGTGACAAAGTCTGAACCGTACAAAAGAGGTGGAATTACAGACTTGCCCTTATTATTGATACTATTAAAGATTCTCCAGAAGTCACGAGAGCCTAATTTTTGTGATGAAATACGAGATTTCATGATCTGAGAATACCTTTTTACAATGGTTCCTAGCAGTAATAAAGAGATGTCTGTTTTCTGGAGAATTGTTTTGCTGATAGATATGGAATTAATGGTTTCGATTGGCAATTGCAGCAGCACAATGTGAAGAAAACCATGAAAAAGAGTGAGGCTTGACCTGGAATCGTCGAGAGGGAATAAAGGATTCCATGCCAGCCTGAATCCACGAAGTTATGTAAGAAGCACATTTGTCAACAGGGAGACGAAAGATTTCTACCCAGGGGCCATCACAAAGAAAGTCACGAAAAGAGTCCCAGTCAGCTTTAAGGTAGTTGTAAGATGTACAATGATAGGGGGATTCTAATGGTAAAGAAGAATGAGATAATAGTTTTAGAGAGACCAAACCATGATCAGACGCACCTAAGAGTGAGTGTGAAGAAACTGAGCACTGACTAGGATCAGAAACAAGACATAAGTCGAGTAGAGAAGGTAAATGATTCGGGTTGTCTGGAAAGCGAGTTGGAAAGTTGACTATTTGAGTTAGGGATTGAGAAAGACAAAAGTTGTGGGCCTTAATGCCTGCAGAGTCACTGATACTAGAGCCAAGCCTTTCAGTGTAATGAACATTAAAGTGACCGACAACAACAATATTGGCTGATGGATAAAGAATGAGGGCTTGGTCAATATAATCAGAAATAACATCAAGAAGAGTGCAGTCTTGGGATGAGGGAGAGCGATATAGAACAAAGAGAAAGGTGATAGAGTGAAGTGGTGCTAAACGAAAGCACATAAAAGAGTAGTCTGTGGATTCAAACCTAGTTTCCCGACAAATGGGTGAATTCTTACGAATGTAAATGCCCAGGCCAAGCATGTGACTATTGGAGTCTTTACGAATTAAAGGAAGATAACCATCAACACTAAGAATACAAGATGAGACAGCTGAACTCAAATTAGTCTCACAAAGAGCAAGCAGGTCTGGTGAACTTTGCAAGAGATAAGACTCAACAGAAGAAAAGTTACTTCGAAGACCACGAATATTGGTGAAAAATAGGTTTAGCAAACTTGGTGATCACTGTGGTTTTTTGTGTTTTATAGTTTTTGTTACTTTATTCATTTTTAAATTTGTTAAGAAACTTGACTCGAAACATTGATAGTACTCAGTACACTGTTCTATAGCTCAAGCAATTGCCTCATTTCCACTTATAAACCCTAAGTCGTAACAAAGGGCTCCAATGTGGCCTTGGAAATGCACACCAAAAGTACAAACAGGGACACCATCCATGTGCAACATGGCACTGTTAGTACTCTGATATTTTTCAGCTGTTGATGGAATCAGCCTCTCTGAGAGCTACCACAGAGTTCGGGAAACCTGACTACCAGCCGGCCTCAGAACCATAAAACTGAGTTTTGGAGCTGTACCCTCATTTGGAGATAATAGAATGAGTTGCCTAGTCATAAAAACAGAGACACAAGCAAAACCCATGAATCGAGTCAAGAAGATCCAGCGTTCAACATCCTAAACTGGAAACAATGTATTAAAAATACATCTGCGCCAGCCTAATAGATGACAAAGGGGTGCGAGGCTGGTGAACAGATAGAATCTGTTTACCCCTTAAGTCTTTGCCTAGGAGGCCTTCTACAAGACAGCAGCCGGATGCATGTAACATCTTCCCAAGATGAGTATTTTTATCAAGACACCATCTCTAGCCTTTACTCAATCAAGAGCCCTAAGGCAGGGGGTGTTTTATGTCGGAGTTTGCATCTCCTAGCCTTTGCCTAAAAAGGCATATCCTACAAGGTAGCAGGACATGAAGCAGATTGTATGGGTTACATGTTACCAGTAGCAGGATAAACCTGACCTGAAAAACTTATATATATGAAGTAAATTAGAGTCAACAATCATTGTTGTTCATGGTAAAATCGATATATGTATATATCAATTATACCATGAACAACAATGATTGTTGACTCTTTTAAATTACTGTTTTGATATCAATTTTTGATTTTGGTCCCAGCGAACTTTCGTTGTTTATTTTAAAGACGCTGTACGGACTTGTGACCTCTATAAGACGTACAACGTTCAAGGGTATCTTATGGACATCTAAGCCCGGCGTGTTTCAATAA